GACTTACCCATTGTTTCAATCATGTTGATATTCCTGTGTAAGTGGAATTTCTCTCCATTAACTGCTCGATCACGTTCCCTTCCTTGTCAAAGGCCTGTGAAGAAGAAAACGTCCTTGTTTCTTTTCCTTACAGTCAGGAATGTGAGCATAACATCAAAACACAAATTCTGTTAAATTTCAACCCCCCCCCCCCCCCCCCCCACCACGATGCATTCTATATTAGCAAGTAAGATCGGCAGCCATTTTCTTTTCAGAACCCAACCTTTGTAACATTCTTGCCACAAAAGGTCAAAATGAAAGGGATAATGGATTTAGTTCCATATACATATAAACACACCATCAATCAATCATAAAATCATTCTAACTGTGATGCTAGTTCAGAGTTACACACAGAACTATGGCTTTTGCATATCATTACATCCCCAATACTTAAATATATATACACATAGAATTATTCAGAAAGAAAACCACCCTGATACCCAGTAACCTATATAAGACCAAAAAACGTTTTTTTTTTTTGAGACTATAATCTTCTCAAATCTTGAGTCCCATTCATTAAAATGAATTGTAGCAATTTCCCCTCCCCCTTATCTGACACACAAACACACACATTAAAAGGCTGTTATCATATAGAGATTATTAAGTCTTAATATTGGACTAATGCTTTTAATAAGGCTGTTATGGTTGTCGACTCCCATCTCTGCGACATCATACATTACTTGAGTGGCTTTGCTATCAGCGTGACTTGACTCAGACATTACACGATTGAATAAGATTGAAAAGACGATTAAAGGCCCTAATGGTTCTTAGAATAGCCACATGGCAACTGTTTCACCAAAGCACAGTTCTGTACTTTGCTTCAACCATGTCTTAGATTCATACACAATGTATTGTACATTTAAATGAGTACTAATCATACAGTTTGCATTTGCATAATGGCAATTTTTAATGCTGGTGTCACCAAACATAAAATATGATCATCAAAAATATAAATAATAATAATAATAATAATAGATAATATGAATATAATTTTTTACAGTGATACCTTAAATTGAAACTATGTCATGATCAATTTTAATTGATATTGATTAAGAAGATTACATCTCCAACTATGCAAAACGTTGTACTGTACAAAAGGCCTAAAAATTATGCTAACTCCTAGTTTGCCTCTTGCTTCTCTGTATTTTAATGGGCAGCTCTGCTTACTTCGAGATGCATTACTGTCACCTATGGAATCCATAGGTGCTAAATATTTTCATCCAAACATGTCTCAACCACTTGCAAAATAAATTGAATACGACATTAATCGACATCTACTAGATTATATCAACTCACAAGAGTGGACATATTTATCACGTCTTAACGATAAAAAACGTGTGTATATTTCATGAAGCCTGTTAGGGTTATCTGTATTTTGAATATAGTCACCGGAGCAGACAATCCGCTTTTCTCAACTCCTCCTCCTCTTTCTCCCTCCTCCTCAACTTATCCATGAAAGCAACAGGCTTCAACAACGAGGACACGGAGGAGAAGTTGAGACAGTGTCCCTACTGTAGAAGAAAATACAAACGGCCACTGCGTCCTTTTACACTCCACACTTGTCACTTTACACTACATAGGAGTCTCTTGGAGCCGTTTAAATCCCGCTGTCGCTGCTCTGTGACCCACAGCCCAAGCTGGCGTCTCTCAGGTCATTAGCGACCGCGTACCGAACAAAAGCGACCGTTTTACCGCCTGAAAACCTAACTTTGTGCTCGACTGAAATATTCACTTCAATTTCGTAAAGCTGAAGTTGTCAGAAATGTTTACTTACAACAGAGTAGAGTCTTTGCATTCCCGGCGGCCAGGGTCCCAGCCTATCCTATGTTGTCCTGCGTCTAACGGCGCTCTGACTGGGGCTTAAAGATGGGGCGTAGTGTAATTCGATCCTTTCTGGACATCTTCAGCGATAGCGCCTCAAACACACAGACACAGGCTAAAGCGCCGCCTACTGGTGGACCTGACACAAGGCCTCATGTGGTAAAGTCAACGTTTGCTCCAGAAAAATTATGGAAACATTAGGAATAGAAAGACAAAATAATGTTAAAGAAAGTATGCTAATTATGACATAGTAGTTGGGTCAGTTTGATTTTTTTTAAAGTTACATTTGAAAAAATAAAGTTTAAAGTTTATGACAATAAAGTCTAAATTAATAATTAGTTTAAATTAATAAAAGTGGTAGATTTTATTATGAATGCAAACTATGTCAGAGTTATCGTGTCTCAGCGGGGGTTTGGGTTAATCAACATGTTCCCAATAATTTTGTTAATATTGCACAGTAGAACTTTAATATTATACACACTATCACTTGCCCTGATGTCAGCAAAGCTAAAATCAATTTAGTTGACCTTTAACACCAAGATAATTACAGCAGACATCTCT